TGGCAAAACTGGTGGCAAGTGGCATCTTGGCAGCTGCACTCTTGACTTTTCTCAGTTCATGGGCAGTTATTTTGCGCCTTGGTTTTTCCACACGCTTCTTGCGACCCTGTTGACTATTTTGAATGAAACGCTTGATTGTTCGATGATCACGCTTCAGAAGCTTGGCAATTTTAAGAGTGCTGCATCCCTCTGCAAGATATCTCACTATTTTTGACTTTTCTGAGCCTGTCAAGTCCCTCTTCTGACCCATTTTGCCAAAGGAAAGGAAGTTGCCTAATAATTATGCACACCTGATATAGGGTGTTGATGTCATTAGACCACACCCCTTCTCATTACAGAGATGCACATCACCTGATATGCTTAATTGGTAGTGGGCTTTCGAGCCTATACAGCTTGGAGTAAGACAACGTGCATAAAGAGGATGATGTGGTCAAAATACTCATTTGCCTAATAATTCTGCACTCCCTGTATAGATATATATAGATATATACACATGTATATATACACCTTTTGTTTTTATGTTTATCAGCAAATTAGCAAGCAAGTTACATCGTGTAGTTGATTTCAGGAGCGCAATAACATTATCTTAAAAAATAAACAACCACGTTGCTAAACCACTATACAAGCCGTTTCTTTGAGGGCATCCCGAGGTCAAACTACACGTCAGGTGTATGCCTGTCTTTCCTCAAAGGTGTCCTAATGCCAGGTATTGTAAGCAATATGCTAAGCTTGAATAAGATGGAAGTCAATGTCCACCTATTGTGTCTGACTACTGTCAATCTAGTACAAATAGTCCGTAATGTGAACAAAGTCTTTCAGAAATTGAATTCTGCTCCGACGTCTGCGAACTACACAATCTTTAGTTCATATAAAGGAGTTATGTTAAGCTTACAGCAAACAATTCGTCACAAAAAAGCCTGCCCATTTTTTTATAAGGAGGCATTTTATACAGAACTAGCATCTTCAAGGCGCAATAAGATTTTGGTGCGCAAGAGGTGACACGGTCCACATGTGACTGGACTACACCAATAGGGTAGCAGCTTTTGGTAAACATAAAAGTAAGATAGCTGCCTGTGGAGTTTTATTTAGCAATACCGAGGAAAACTCACAAAAATGAGTAAAATAACGAAATCTCAAGTGTTGACATCAATCAGCTACTCGATTGGTCTAGCACGATCACGTGTCGAACCCTTGCACCGCTCGCGAAGCAAAATCGTATTAAGCCCTGATGAAACTAGTTCGGCATAAAATGCCTCGCCATAACAATTAACTTTTTGCTGTAAGTTTAACGTAACTCGTTCTTTTTTATGAAGTTAAGCTCGTGTAGTTCGCAGACGTCGGAGCGAGATAAAACGATAATAGGGTTCACCTTATGGCCTAAAAAGATTCAACTCTGTCAACATACCTCGACAATGTTACGTTAACATAGTTTTACTTAAATGCATTTGATTCAAATGAAAGCTAACGTTAGGCACTCATACTAGCCGGTTGCTAGCTCTGGCTAGCATGTCAATCAAAGGTTATTTTATTAATTTAACAATGTCAAAACAAAAGACCAGGGACGTCTATGTGGACGTGCACATTAAACGTCCTTTATTATATTTCAGCCTAAACGAGAAACAGCGATAAGAGATCACGTTCAGGTGCTCCCTGTCATACTCACCATGTTGATGCAGTGAAACAGATTATACACCGACAGCACAGAACACCCAGAATCGCAAATGAAGCGGCGAGGAGGACATAAGCGCGTCTTGTTTTGACTGTACACAAAGCGAAAGGGTTATTCTCTTTAAATTACCATTGTGCCTTGACAGAGACTGGTTACATCGTCTAATAAGAAAAAAAAAATCAATGGACTCTGCCTCCTTTTTTTTTTTTTTTCCAACAGTAATAGAGGTCACAGTATATCTTAGAATGAGGAGGTGACCTAAAATATGCCTGAGCACAAAAAATCAAATGCAACATACATATTTTATTCGTGTCAACGATGTCCAATAGATTCTATATATGAACCACCACAAGTTAATACAAACGCATAATAATCATATTCTCCCCGAAAATGTGATTATGCTGACACAGCTCTACTATTTTCTTTTCTGGATTATAAAGGGTGGCGGTAGAAAATAATTAGGACCATCACAGGCAGAATAGAGCTGAGTGGCATTACAGTGTAAAGCAGACCAGAGAGTTTAATACCAACATTAACAGTCACGTTATACCGCCTATGTAAAATCAGAGAAAAGACAAGTTTGCTTTAAGGTTAATAGCATTGATTGAAGTGATGTTGTATAATGGCATTTCTTTAGAAGGGAGACAGTTTAAACGTAACAGGCCGATGTGTACCAAAGATACCTTTTAAAGATATAAATTCAGGGTTATGAAAACTTGCTCATAAACGAGGCTCCATGCAGTGAACCAAAGTTGAAGCTTAAAAAATGACTCATCCATCAGACTGGTATAAAGTAAAAGTATTTAGTAGTAAAAAGTACGAAAAAAGTAACTAATGCACTTTTTAAAATCACACTAAATTGCCGGCTGGTTTATAACAGCAAAAAAAAAAAAAAAAAACCCACAAATATACTTTTAGGGTCAGGAGTGTATTTTTGGGGTAGACCAAGAAATGTTGACATGTCATTGAAGTAAGCGTGTCAAACACTGTCAAACACTGAATGCTGAATTAGATTGGATTTTGTCATTGTTTGCATGTAGGAATTCTGCCTCGTGTTTTTTGCAGTAGAAAACAACAACTTTGTTCTTTAATTTTATAAATCTGTAGTATTACTACAGTACTTAAAAAATATCATACTCTGCATTTACACTACAATTTGAATAATCAAAATGTTTTTGTGGTATACATACTGTATGTCTGTGGCAAGTTCTTCACATTGTTCTTATATTTCCTAAGAGCCATAGATTAATGTTACACTGTTGTGGTCAACAGTAAACTGTTAATCACAATTCTTATCTGAGACTTGGTTTACACATGATATAGGTATCCAGTGTCATGATTTAAACTGGTAATGACCCAAATGCAGGCTCAGACGACATTAAGTGAGAAACAAGGATTTATTTTGCTGTGGGAGACAAAGGGGAAGGAGAGGGTCCGATAACGAGATGGAGGGGGTACAGAGTGGAGGCTGTCCAGATCTGGCTGGTGGAGAGCAGGTAGCAGGAGGTGGACCTGAGCACAAGAAGATCGGTCATTAAAGATCATTTCATTCAGCAACAGGAATCACAAAGAACAATAGTTAAAGTCAATCTGGAGATTAGCTACCACGGTGGCTGAACAAACGATCTGACAACAAGTGGGAGAAAGGCCAGGGTTTTTATGCCGTCAGAGTGATGGGTTGATTGCAGGCAGGTGCTGAGGAACGGCAGGTGTGCTTCAGTGATTATCCAGGCAGAATCAGGGAAATGTGCCACGCCCACCACACAGACAGAGACAAGTGCACAACACAAGAATGGCGAAAACAAAGGGAAACACAGGGAAACACAGGGAACGACAGTCACAACTGTCATCGTGACATCTAGATCACTATGGCAAATACAGTATTTTGAGTACATGAGTTACCGCATGAAGAAAAAAAATCCTCCTGTCTTCAATAATTTATCTCTGCTGCTTATTGCAAATAAGCAGGATATGGAAAATTAGAATAAATTAGAAAAGACCAACCAACAATCTACCAACAGTAATTTTAGGAATAGTAGTTTTACTCAGTGTCAATTTTTCCCTTTATTCATTTATTTATTTTTCTTTCAGTGCTTTTAAATTAGGGTTCTGTGTGATTATTAAAGTTTCAATTTAATAGTCAATTAAAGTTAAGACATTAAACTGTATCTCTCCAAATATCCCCTCCTTGAATCGCAACCTTAACGTGGTGGAGGGGTTTGAGTATCTGAATGAACCTAGGAGCTATGTTGTAGGGGGCTTAACGCCCCGGTAGGGTCTCCCAAGGCAAATAGGTCCTAGGCGACGGATCAGACAAATAGCGGTTCAACCACCCCCCCCCCCCCCCCCCCCCCACGCACAGGCCGGGCTCTGGGACCCAACTCCTTGAGAGAGACTGGACTCTTCTACTCTGGAGTTGCTCGTGGTGAGACCTGGTGGCCTTACTTAAGCTTACTTATAGCTCCCCAGCTTGCCAGTCGTGTGGTGGAGTTCTCCCCACTGAGCGAGAGGGTCACTTCCCTGCGCCTTCGGGCCAGGGACAGGTGCCTCACTGTTGTTTCAGCCTACGGGCCGAATAGCAGTGTAGAATACCCGGCCTTCTTGCAGACACTGGGAGGGGTACTGGACAGTGG